AATGGTGGTATAACACAGTTTATACAAGCAGAGAAGTGCTAATCACAATGTAGTGTAACCCACGAGAGCTTTTCAATTTGGAGAGTATAAAAGGGAGACTTGGAATGCATGGATGGCATCAGTTCAGGCAGTGTAGCTCTCATTGCAATGGTTCTGCAAATTTTTGAATGGTGTACTATGGTTACTCTACTATAAATTTAAGACTAGCATGAGCACATAAAATAAGGATTCATCTGTTAAATATTACATGTACATCCTTTAAAGTTTTTCCATATTCCTTGGAGAATAAAGCATGTACATGTACTGAACAATGTATTTTCAAGAATTAAAAATGCTTATTTAAAGTATTACTTATTATGCATGTATAATATTATGCATATTCGTATTATTCTTATAATTATACACTATAACAGTTTTATGTACACATGTGTCTTTCTTTGTATAGGGATCAGGATGAAGAGGAGGACCATATTGATAACTTTGGTGGTGTCAATTTAAAGGTTTCTGTTATTATACAATTACTGTATTCATTAATCCTCACCTCTTCTTTTATTTGTAGGAGGAGACAGCTCATTTTTTACCAGCAGCATCAGACACACCCACAAAGAGCATCAGTGATGAAACCTTTTTATCTACAGCATTACTATGAAATAAAGTGGCAACTATTGGTGAGTTTGTTTAATAGTAATGGAGGTTTTTTGGCAATCACTATGGATTTGGTTTGCCCCAATTGATCTTGTTTTACAGTGTACATCCACATGTACATGTAATTGGTTTTATGCTCCCCAAAAGTCGCATACATGTACATGTACACAGTGCTCTATTTAGGAATTTTTGTTTGGGGGCGAAACCCAGGGCAAGTGACTGGGGGTAGGTTGTGTACATACATGTATCCACATGTACAGTACTACATGCATGCAATTACAAAAGTACACGGGGCAAGTTTGAAGTTTTGGTGGGGAAGCTGAAGAGTTTGGGGGGAAGCTTTCCCCTTCTCCCCACTGGATAAAACCTTGATACACAATGTACCCTTAGATTTTGACTTCCTGGATTGAAATCCCAAAAGAAACCATGTCAATGTAAACTGCTGTATATTATTAGTGTAATGTACATGTACAGGTTGCTTTGTTTCTATTTATATTTTGGATTAATCTTTTTCCTCTTGTCTTCTCTCTCTCTCTCTCTCTCTCTCAAGGTTCTCGTTATGGTGTCACAGAGATAACCGAAGAATTTTTAACTTTCTTGTCTCATGCAACTGAGGTACATACATATTCAGTTATGCATGTAAATGTACTACATGGTTTAAGTCAAATTATTTCACTTCCTGATACATGTACATGTTGTGAACTGATTTTAATTGTCATTGCATGTGTACAATGTACATGTATTATTGAATTACAAGTTTTGAAAACTTTGTTGTGTGTCCACACCAGTATTGTCTTGTGAATAATTTTGTGTCCCTGTCCTATGCTATGTAGCAAGTTAAAGCTTTTTTTTGAGCATATCATGTACAATACATGTACATGTACATGTATAACGTACCGTATTTTACTGTTTTTTTACTGTTTTTAATTTTTAATTGTTTTAATTTTACGATTTACATGTGAGCTACTATAAATTAATAGATTAAAATATTCCACTTTTACGGTGCTATAGTTCTTTTTTTCTAAAATGGCATGTCCCTCATAATACATTCACACTAAGCATTCAATAGTAGCGATATGGTAAATAAATGGAACTGATATAATGGATACACATGCTCATTGTTAATTATTATTATTTTAATTTTTTAGGAGAGAATAAGGAATTTAGTAGAACAGGTAACTGTAATCAGTCAACACAGAACTGAGCTACTGAAGGTATGTACAGTACACACTCTACATGTACATGTACATGTACTTTGTGACACATGTATATCAATTTGTTAAGTTTTGTTGTTGTGTAGAAATTTTGATTGATTCTGATTAAAAGTGGATTTTGTTATGAAAATTAATATTTTTAAAGTTGCTCCAAAATTTTACTAAAGTCCCTGTAGGGCCTGTACTAGCCTGCTACATTTCACCGAAGATGATTTTTTTGTAATTGTCCATTTTAATGATTTTTTCTGATATGCATGTATTTATGTTGTGTAGAAAGTTTAAGCTGATTTTGAGAATTAAAAAAATTAATTTCCTCCAAAATCAGGCGAAAGTACCTGTACTGTTAATACAGGGTCATTAGCCAAATTTCATCAAAAAAGAAAAAGAGAGAATTCTCTTTATTATATTTTATCCTGGTGTGTATACATGTACTTATGTTGTGTAGAAATTTTGATCTGATTAAGACTCGAATCAGATTTTTTATGAATTTTTAAACTTGCTCCAAAATTAGGCAAAAGTTTTGTACATTGGCCAAATTTTGTCAAAAATGAATAGGAACGAATTCTTCATTTTTATAATTTTTCTCATAGACGTACATGTTTATAAGTTGCATAGAAAGTTTGAGCTGTTTCTGATCAAAAGAGGATTTTTTACAAATTTTTTTAGTTCCTGTATTATAGTACAGGTGGTCAGATTTTGTCAAAAAATAACGACGAGACTGTACATGTACATGTACTGTATATTATTGCTATTTTCTAGAGACTGTTCATTGACTTACATCTTGTTTTGTATTCCCAAACCATACAGTACTACAGTGTGTTGTTTTATTTGTGGAGTAATGTATGAATAGCTGTTGTGTAGCTTTTATTATACTAGCCTTGTTCATACTCAGCATGAGATCTAGAAATAAATTTTGAGAGACCAAGAATGGGAAACTTAAGGACACCTATAGTCATAGGCTATATATGAGATACCAAAAGCTGAAAATGGGGTATTTCAGTAAACCTAGACCAATAATGAGAGACTGAAAGCCCCTAAACTCCCTCTACATGTAGATCTTACAGTATTTAAGCTATAAGTATTCTCTGAATACACGTGTATTATTATTATTATTACTGATTATAATATTATTTTTGTCGTACTTTAGGGTAACAGTTGCTATGAGCCAGCTACTGATGTGAGGGCTCAGCTGAAAGTGCTGGAGCGTATTGATGAAGTGAGTGCCACAAGGAAACAAGAAAGAGAGAAAGAAAAGATTATCCATGCTGCGAAAAGTCGCTCAAAACAAGATGACCCAGAGCTAGCCAAGATGAAGGAACAAGCCAAGCAAGTTAGTATTGATTTGATAAAGCATTCTGTTAACTATTGTTGATCTATTATGATTATCATTATTATTACTATTATTATTACTGCTACTGTTGCTATTGGTCTACATTGTACGATAGATCCAAATAGCAGAGGAGAGAGAGATACACCAGAAAGCAGCTAATGTACAAGCACTGGCGGCTATTGGAAGGAGAAAGAGAACAGCCACTACTGCTTTTGGAGGAGAGAGCTCTTCAGTAAGTCTCTTCACACTTTACATGTATATTAATCACACACACACACACACACACACCCACACACACACACACACACCCACACACACTACATGTAATTTCCCCACATTATGTACACTGTTATGGTTGTGATAATGAACTACATGTGATGTGCATGTGGAACCATAAT